CTTCAGGTTCTGGCGCGAAGTATGGAGGACGTTCGACTGTTGGTGGCGACCCAGAATGAAAACCGCGAGCAACCCAGAATCTTGAACCGAAACCAAGAAATGCGAAATCACGATGCGGCGTGACCTCGACAGATGCAGTTCACTCGAATGGAATTTCCGAAATTCTCTCGTCAAGACGTCGTCGCCTGGGTCTTGCGCTGTGAACGGTATTTTGAATTGGATAATACGCCCGAGGATGCGAAAGTGAAAATGGCGAGCTTACACCTTGATGAAGACGCGTTCCGATGGCATATTGCGTGCGAACGGCGATGGCGAGGGGCTCTGCCAGCTTGGGAAGATTACGTCGCAGAATTAAAGGATTGCTTCGGTCCTACATATGAGTCTCCGATGGGCGACCTTCTCCGTCTGCGACAACTGGGGACTCTGGCCGAATTTAATTCTGAGTTCGATCTTTGTTCTTCTAAATTTGACTTGGCCGAAGACTTGCTGGTTGATGCGTATCTTTCTTTGATTCGGGAAGAAATATCTGGGCCCGTTAGAATTTCAGGCCCAGAACCATTAGAGAGGCTAAGAGCCTTGCCCGGATGCAGGAGATAACCAATGACAGAATTAGAGAAAAGAAAACAGGGGAAAGGGGAACTAGATATGTAGCCCCTGGTTCATTAGTGTCGTCCATGTCTCTTGCAACATCAACCCCATACAAGAATGCATTGCTTAATGGCAGCACCCAGAACAAAGATAAGCTTGCCATTACTGTCCAGAAAAACACAAACGGTGCCTTCAAGAACTTTAACAAGAATTCCAAGATTCTTACGGCCGAAGAAGAAGCTGATCATAGGGCCAAGAACCTATGCTTCTACTGCCATGAGAAATTCTCAAGGGACCATAAGTGTCCTCAGCAACAGAAAATGCAGCTCCATTTCATTGAAATGGAAGAACCAATGGAGATCAGTGGTTGTGAGGAAAATGAACCAGAGGACGCTGAAGATTCTATGCCACTCATATCCCTTCATGCAATTAAAGGGATTGACAGCACGGATGCCATGAGGATTCAAGGATTTGTGGGCAAAAGGAGTATTCAAGTTCTAATTGATAATGGGAGTACTCATGATTTCCTAGATTTTAACCTTGCTCAAAAATTAGGATGGAAGGATAGTGGTACTGATTTTTCTTTTGTTCAGGTTGCAGGAGGTAGAAGATTGAAGGTGCATGGAATTTGGCATGGTTTTAGATGGCGTATGCAGGGCATGGACTTTACATGTGATTTGAGAATCATAGAACTACAAACCTATGATATTGTTTTGGGTCTAAAGTGGCTCAAAACTATTAAGAGTGTTTTTTGGGAGTATGAGACCCTCACTATGCATTTCTGGTACAAGGGGCAGCTGTGTAAACTTCAAGCTACCCCTCCTAATTCAATGATGATAGTGCCACCTAAGAAGCTGGGTTACAAGAAAGATCAAGAGCAGCAAATGTTCTTGATTCACTTGCTGCAACCACAAGGGCAACAATTGCAGCAGTGTCTTTCAATTCAAGAAGTAGAAGAAAGGGTCCCACAGGAAGTACAAGAGGCTCTAAATGATTTTGCTGACCTATTTGAGGAGCCAAAAGGTCTTCCCCCATTGAGAAAGGGTCATAACCACCCCATTGTTTTGCATAAAGGAGCTGACCCTATAAGCTTAAAACCTTATAGATACCCTTCAGCTCAAAAAGATGTCATTGAAAAATTAGTTGGGGAATTGTTGCAGAATGGGGTTATACAAGACAGCTCCTCACCATTTTCAGCACCCATTGTTTTGGTTAAGAAAAAGGATGGCACATGGAGAATGTGCACTGACTATAGGGAGCTGAACAAGAAAACTATAAAAAATCAGTACCCAATCCCTCTCATTGAGGATTTACTTGATGAATTACAGGCTGCCAAGTGGTTCACTAAACTGGATCTAAGAGCTGGATACCACCAAATCAGAATGGTACCTGAAGATGTAGATAAAACTGCATTTAAAACTCATGCAGGGCATTATGAGTGGCTAGTAATGCCATTTGGATTGACTAATGCCCCTGCAACTTTTCAGGGAGCTATGAACAGTATTTTTAAACCATTTTTAAGAAAGTTTATTTTGGTTTTCTTTGATGATATACTGATTTATAGTTCTTCCTTGACAGATCATGTGGAGCACCTGATTCAAGCTTTCAAAATTCTAAGGGAACACCACTATTTTGTGAAGAAATCCAAGTGCACTTTTGCTGCCAAGAATGTCGAGTACTTGGGACACATTATAAGCAATGGAAGAGTTTCTACTGACCCTAAAAAAATTCAAGCAGTTGCTGATTGGCCTATTCCTCAGTCTCTTAAGCACCTAAGGGCTTTCCTAGGCTTGGCTGGCTATTATAGGCGATTTATTAAGGGGTATGGAGGGTTGGCTAAGCCCCTAACTCAACTTCTCAAGAAAAATGGGTTTAAGTGGGATGATTCTGCCACTACAGCTTTCAGCAAGCTGAAGAATGCCCTAGTTACAGCACCCGTTCTTGCTCTGATACCAATTGTTATGATATTTGAAAAAAGAAAGGAAAGAGAGGGAGAAGAGTAGGAGAAACAGAGAGACGAGAGAGAGAGAGGTACTGAGAATACTGAAGAGATTGAATATTCACTGAAAACAAACATCATAACATACAATTGATTTAGGAACCCCTTTATATAGGTTAGCTCCCAACGGCTAGTTCATTAAACTACCTGAAATCAACTAACTAAACTAACTAACTGTAACTAACTACTTCTTATATTTTTAATATAACATCAGACTACTTGGATTGGTCTAGACTAGTCCAAGTGAATTTTTTTATTTCTAATATTTTGTAATTTAAATCTTACCTCTAATTGTTTTTAATGTTGTTAGAGATTCTTATTTATTTATGATTAAGTTTTAATATTTTAGGATGATTTGTATATGATTATAGCTATTTTCTGTTGTCTTAGTTAAATTTATCATGTTGAGATTATACTTCTGATAAAAAAAATTTGAAAATTGGAAAATTGGGGTCATGGACTGTTTGGACTAGTCCACCAGTCTAGTGATTAAATCCAGTCTAACCTGACATCGAGCTCCTGTTGTATTGAATCAAACCACAGACTACAAAAGCTAAGCCAATTAAAAATCAGACCAAACTTCAAGTTAGGCTCTGATCTAATCCAATCTATCCATTGTGGAGACCTAGTAGTAAATATTTGATTTAACTAGAAAAATAGTCATGCTATTTTTTTAAATTTTAACTAGTAGAGATTGATTACTTAAACTTGTTCTTCTTTTTCTTTTTCATATTTCAAAATTTCTCAAAATGAATGTTACATGTGGAGGCTATTATTGTTGATTCCAATTAACTCTAAGCAAATGTTTATAAAAATACATGATCATATCATATTAATTAAAGCTTGTTTAATTTACATTTTTAAAAACATTTTTTCTTCTTTTATAAAAATCAAAGTAAAAAACGTATTCAAATATGTGACATCTATTTACTTCTTTAAACTTAACACTCTCTCGATTCTTAATATAAGACATATTTAACTAATTTGAGTAGATTAAGAAAGTTAGTTAGTTATAAAAAAATATGACATGTTTTTCCTAAAATATTATAATCATTTTCCTTAATATCATCCCTCCTTTTTCTACTTAATTATAGTTGAGGAAAATCAATAGGGGTAGTTTAGAAAAAATTGATAAATATGAAAAATGAGTCTTACATTTAGGACTAAAATCAACTCAATAATTAGGTTCTATATTAAAGACTAGAGGAGTATATATGTTTGTCATATTGTTAAAATACATAAAGAAAAATATCTATAACAAAAATTAATATATACACACACATATATGAATATCCCATTCTACGTCTCGTCTATTAGGGTTGTTCAATTATGTCCTATCCCAACATCTCATCCCTGTCCTAATCATTTTGGGATGAGACGAAAGTGGGACAAGACGATGGGACGGGACAAAATTTTTTCGGGAAGGTACGCAGGACATGGTGTCCTGTCCTAGTCCCAATCCGGATCTCGGGCCCATCCCAATATATTATCTTTATTTTTAGTTGTTATAAATTTATTTTATTTATCACTGTAATAGTATTTTGGTAATAATATTTATCAATTGTTATTTTTTATTTTTTTATAAGTTATTTTTGTATAAGTTACATGACATTCTTTATAGTGAATATTTTAGGTTTATTTATTTTTTGTCTCTGATGATTACAAAAAACGTTTTTTTTGTCATTGTTTCCTTATTTTTATCTATTTTCCTCACATAGTTTTTATATTTCCTGTATAATTAGTTTTCAAATTAAAAAATTCAAAAAAATTAAAAAGAGAGAGAGAGAGATGAGACATTCCTGTCCCGTCACAATTGGGACGAGACACTATTGGGACGGGATAGGACATAGGACAGAAAAGCCACCCCGTCCCAATTATCGGGATAGGACTGGGACGAGGTCGTCCCTGTCCTGTCTCATCTCATGAACACCCCTATCGTAGGACTGGGACAGGGTCGTCTCTGTCCTGTCTCATCTCTTGAACACCCCTATCGTCCATTGTCCCGTCCTGCATTTGTGGACAACATGAACAGCCCAAGTTGAAATTAAGTAATCAGCGCATAACTAAGTTATTACTTACAAATGCACAAACTTCTTCATAAACCCAAATTATTATTTCCTTACCTCAAATCAAGTTAGCATTTACATTAAATTAAATTATTATTTCCACAAATCCAAGTTGAAATTAATATATAACTAAGTCATTATTTTCATAAACCCTAATTATGATTTACAAAAAATTAAGTTGTTATTTACTGAAAAAGTTATTATTTATTTATAATTAAGTTGATATTTACTCATATCCAGTCAAGATGTCATTTACATTAAACTTATTTATTTTTATAGACCCAGGTTATTATTATTTACAAAAAAATACTTAAATTATTATATACAAATGCAAAAAAATTTTGAGCAAAAATTACTTAAATTATTATTTTTATTCAGAATACCAGTCATCATTTCTACATACTCGTACAGGACTTTTTATTTGGAACAACATGAATTAAACTAATTAAAACAATAGTACGTATTTTGCATTATAATATCATTTATCTTTGAGGCTCTCGATGGTTATTATTCATTTTGGGGAACAAGTAGTCTTAAATTCTAACCAATCATCAGTTGCAGGTAGGGGTGAGCAAAACCGAACCGTAACCGAAAACCGAACCGAACCGAATTTAATTTCGGTTTTTCGGTTCGGTTATTTCGGTTTTCGGTTATATATTCGGTTTTTATTTTTTAAATAATTCGGTTTCGGCGTTCGGTTCGGTTAGTAGGAAAAAAATTCGGTTATAACCGAATAACCGAAATAAATATATTATATATTTATATTTAATAAATATTATTATAATAAATATATATGTGGGTATATGTGAACTTTTTAAATATATTTATATCCAACAAATATGATTATAATAAATATTATTATAATAAATCACATTGAATGATAAAATATTTATTAATTAATGGTTATAATTGTGTTTTATTATTATTTTTAATTTAAAATTATTTTTCATATTTATATATTTCGGTTAATCGGTTAACCGAACTGAAATTTTTGGTTAATTCGGTTTCGGTTAGTTCGGTTATTCGGTTTCAGTTCGGTGTTTAAAATTTACTCTATTCGGTTATTCGGTTAATTCGGTTATCACCGATAACCGAACCGAAAAACCGAATGCTCACCCCTAGTTGCAGGGCCTCCAGCAGTCAACGAGTGCTCTGGCCCCAGCAACAGTGGCCAAATCGGAGCTCCATCCGTTTGTGGGTGCTCCAACATTAGCAACCTTTCTTGTCTGGTAGATGGCTTCCAAAAAGTTGATCCAGATCTTCTTACCCATTTCACCTTGTAACTAATTCTCGTTATTAATGCTTATGGCAAAAACCTAATTCTTGTTATTAATGTTTTTAATTTATTTTCAAACTTGAAATCTATTTGTTCTGATTTAATTAGAAATAACTCAAAGTTTTAAGGGCGCCTATTTATAGAAAATAATAAGGTTTAACGAGTCATATATTGATTTATGTGCAATTATACAATGCATCCAAAAAGAAATTTATATGCAATGATTCAAAATGTGAATCTCCAAAGCAATAGCTCTTTTTTCCTTTGGCGGAAAAGGAATAGCTTTTATATATAAACATAAATATCTGAAGGGGATTGGATGCCCAGGTGGGGCAACTCTTCTTCATCGAGCATTTTAAGAGAATGTTCCTACAATCCTTTGTGTAATTGGGAGATAATTTCGAGAATTCCAAGGCAACATATTGATTGATTAGTTATTTAGTTTAGTTGTAAATTCTCTAGTTTTTTTTCTTGGCCAAAAATTCTCCGGTATTGTCGACTCAACAAGGCTTTTCGTATTAGTTTTTCTTGTGATGTTTTGTGTACCAGTTAAAACAGTTTGAACCTAATTAATTGACTGGTATGCATGGTAGAATTATATCGATAGTACCCTTTGTTATAAGCTTAAACAGGTACAACTTGTGCATTTTTTCTAAAGTATATGCCTTGATTTGAACTTCAATTACTACAAAACAACAACAGATGAAGCCCAGTATAAGTTAAATATATCTCAACTTATAATCCTCTTGACAAGTCAAATAGATTAAATTAATAACTTCCTATTTGTTTATTGATTTTTTTCCATATAGTAAAGGGAAAATACTGCTTTCAACTGTGATAATATGCTTAGATTACAGTTTTATTTTCCTTCATTATACTCATCCTGGCATGTTTCTCCATATGCATAGAATTTGAGAGGTAAATTACGCTTTTCATACTTTGAAAATAAAATGACTTTTTATGGATTTTAATTCACATCGGACACACTGATATATTGTTTTATTCTTCTCAATTTTAAGTAAACCTAAGAGAAAATACCATCAAAGTCGAATATTATTACTTTCCTAATCATCATTTTTTTCATTCATGAGTCATCTTCATACGTGCCAAATGATAGGTTTGGAGTTTGGACCAATTAGTGAAAAACATGATTTAGTAAACTTGTGTGGCAAGTTCTATTGGCTATGCTTATGTCCTAAGCCTAGAGAAGTTTCTCCATATACCAAGGATGACTATTTAATAATCATATGAGCCTATGCAACTAAAATGATTTATATATATCACAGTCATCATTAGACACCAATAACCTAAATGTCCGAACCATTCCTGCATTATGTTGATCACATAAATAATATTTATTTACCTGATATTAATAACTGCTGTTTAGATTAGATATTTTAATCACCATATTAATTGGTTAATTTAGGAATAAATTTTGGATAGAAATTAATTATAATATTTAGTAGAGAAGCAGTAGTTAATTTGTTTTAAACATTAAAAAGACAATATCACCGATAGTGTGATGAAATCAACCATTTCAAAACTTGTGTGCTATTTGAATAATGAGGGGGGAAAAAGTAGCAAGTAAGCGGACAACTCTCGTGTGGCAATGGTCGATGGGGGTGCAACAAGGCATGATGGTGGCCAAGTTGAAGAATAGCTTAATTTCTTTATGAACAAGTTGAGGTAAGCTTTGATAAAAAGCTGGTCAAAAAAAATAGCTTTGATAAAAACGAAAAAGAAAGAAAATTTTGTCCCAAACTTACTCAAACTCATTACTCATCACAAATTAAATTTAACTTTACAAAAAAGTGGCATGTTTTTTTTTTTGTTTTTTCGGTTTGGGAGTGTTCAGTTGGTTCAAGCTCAATAATTAAGTTGATGTCTGTAACTTCAAAGGTTCAATTCTCATTGGTGTTCATCGGGGAAAAAAGTGTAGTTTTTAAGGGATCAGAACAAAAATATTTCTCTCCCTATTCTACATCTTGATCTAGGAGGGGGGGGGGAAATAACCCTAATCATATCAGTTTCGGCTAGCTTGCAAAAAGTAAATATTAATATAAATAGATAAAACAAACACTTCTTTTCAGACCCAAAAAAAAAACAGATAAAGCAAACACTTGCAGTATTTTATCTCAAAGAAAAATAAAACCTAAATTTAAAGTTTGATTCAAGAGATCCAAATGAAAACCGAGCGTTCTAAACTCAGACACTGCACAGTGTGCACTAAACAGACAACATCACAACACTATCACATTGCACCCTTCTGAGCTCAAACGCAAGAAAATCAAATAATTTATGGCGGTCACTACGTTTTCCTTACGGTGAAACAAGAAGTTTTGTGTTCTCAAAGAAAGGCACAGCACCATTTAGACACAAAAATCAAAAGGAAAACTGACAAACGAATAGTACTAGCATTTCTACCACCATAGGAATTTCCCCAGGGATTTCAGAACAAGTTTGCAAAGACAAAACACACACATTTCGTTCGATAAAATCGATCGCAGCAATAAAAAGAAAAATAAACGACTGTGTGAATAACAAGGAGAAGATAGAATGTAACAATTAGTACCTCTTGAAGAATCAAAAATTAGGACTCCGAACGTTTCTCCGTCGCATTTCATCGCCAGTAGGGATCAGCGAATAATCAATCTCCAGCATTTGTCTGTATAAATACGCAAGAAAACAAGAAGCTTAATTCGATAGCTTACAAAGTACGAAATCATCGCCCGAAGATTTAGGGATGAGAAACGGCGCCGTCTACGTACCGACGAGATGTGAAGCACGACGGCGATCGCGGAGACGAAGAGAAGGAGAACGACGGAGAGAATCGTGTGATTCTTTCTTTTCATTCGGTCATTGAACGACGACTCAAGGGCGTTATTATTGCTACGGAACTTGCAACGCCCCGGAGAGAGAAGAAAATATCTGTGACATATGGGATTAAACTAATCGTAGACGAGAAATCAACAGCGAAAAGGTATATTTTAACCGGGACAGCTGTCGGCCACTAATTGGAATGTTGGTAAAATGGTAAATTACATGAAAAAAACTGCACATTGGCCCAAAAAAAATTGTATTTTCATTTCAGCAGAACTTGAACTGCCCCTAACAATTTCAATTTTGTCGTCCTAATTAAAATAGGAAGAATTATAATCATGTTCTAAAAAAAAAAATACTCCTTCAATCTTTAATATAAAAGTCATTTATCTAATTTGATTAGATTAAGAAAGTTAAGTGAGTTAGTTAATTATAAAAAATATGACATGTTTTTTCTAAAACGCCTTAATCATCTTCCTTAATATCTCATCTCCCTCTTCCACTTGATTATGGTTGAAAAAGTATTCACAGAAATAATTTAGAAAAAAAATTGATAAATGTAAAAAAATATGTCTTATATTTAATATCAAAATCAACTCAACAATTAAGTCATATATTAAAGATCGGGGGAGTATTTAATTACCATAAAGTTTATATGCAATAACAAGTTATAAAGTAATAATTAATAACAAGTTTAAGTTCATCACTTGTCATTAAAATTTTATGTAATTAATTTTTCTCTTATGGCCTCATAATAATTTTCTTATTAAAATATCTAAAGTAAAGTGCTCCCAATTACTAAACCCGCTGCCCTCCCAACCAAGCCTAAAAATAATATTCTCTTTTGGATAATTCTGCTCAATATTTATATCCTAACTTAGGAGCAGAAGTAGTACAAACATAAATTTACCAAAACTTGATTTATGCTTAAGCAAATCGATTCAAATAGACTAAAAGCCAAATCAAACCAACCTATCAGAAAAATGAACGAGTTTCAATTTTTGTGCGAACTTATCGTTTTACACAAAATTAAATCAAACCAGACCTTTAAATACTTGATAATATTTCATTGACGCTCCTCAACGTTGTTATAAAGACATGCTCAATTCTTCTCATTAGTATTTTCTTTGCTGAAATTTTAATAATAATAATAACAATAAAGATACCGAAGATTCACACCCACAGTTTTATGGGTGGCATGTGTCCACATATCCAAGAGAAATTGCATCGTTATGGGACAATAAGTTAACCCAACCCAACTTGCTACTTTCTGTCTTCTCATCCGGACATTTTCTTCCTCATCTTCTCGCACGCCCAAATTTCCACAAGGCTTCCTCTCATGTGATGAAAAGTGACTCGTTCCTAATATTCTTTTCATTTTATATAAAAACTCGTATGATTTTTATCTTAATCTTAAATATGATATCTCAATTCATTTTATCTTCTATATTTATGTATTTTTTTCTAGTATAGTCCTTCTAATAATAGTAGTTCTAACTAATATAATATAAAGATATTTTAAAAAAGACAATACTTATTTATTACAAATAATTAACTTAACTTATTTTCTTAATATCCTTAAATTAGTTAACTAACTCTTATAATTAGAGTTGGAAGTAATATAAGAGTTAATTAAAGAATTTGTTCTAAAATTTTAATCCATTTTATATCCCATACTTACCATTTTTTGTAAAATGAATTTATCAGGTTCATATAAAATCATATATAATATTACATCTGATTCTTGATATAAATCTGGTTTGAAATATAAAGTCTTTGTCCACTTTGCTTCTTACCATACCAAGACATAATTTCAACTATCCAACACAAGAATAGTTAAAAGAAACCAACATATATTTATCATAAAGAATTAATTTATCTAATTTTTCTAATATTTTTAAATTAATTATCTATTTTTTATATTAATGATAGGAGATGATATAATGGAAAATCATGTGATATCACTTTTTTTTTTTTGGATTACTCCATCCGGTATCCCAGGATAATAGGCATCTTTCAGTCGTGGCAACGACCCCAGACTAGTCCAGATTCGGGGGCTTGCAAGGATCCTTTCGGACGGCGCCCCTTGACCCCTTGGAGTGCTGCGTTCCCACGTCTCGAACCCGATATCTATGGTTAAATTAGGACAGTCCCAGTCAGCTGACCTAACTCCGCGGGGTTGATATCACATATTAATATAGCATCACTTTTGTTATCCAACATACCATGCCAAGCTCGCTCGGGAGAAGTCGAATCAGGGCAAAATTAAAATATAAAAAATTAAAGAAGGGTTGTGCCACGTCGGACTCAGGGAATAATGCCGCCCCGCACCGCCGCACGCATACCCGGGGCAGATAGCATCTTGGACATATATAATTTTTTTTTGACCAAGGACATATATAATTAAAGTTTTTGGTGGCCCTCCAAATTGCATCCCGGGCCCAGGTCAGGCACTCATTCTATTTAGAAACTTTTATGGTATTGTTTGTTTTAATTATTTTAATTCATGTTGGCAAAAAGAAAAGTAGTTTAATTCACCAGACCCCTAATTCATTGAATGTAGACAGCGAGAGGCATAGACAAGGCAAGCCATCATATTTTTGGAAAAATTTTAAAAAAGAACTGTTCGATTTCAAAATTTTAAATCAACAATTACTATAAAAACGTGTTTTTATTTGCTTTTCAAGTATAGTTTTATAAGTGTAGTAATTAATACTGGTTTAGAATTTTAAAATTCAACAGTTTTTTTTTTTGGTTGGGCCAACAACAAGGCAAGCCATTATATATGCTACAATTATATATAATGCCGTTTTGTGCTTTATTATTTTTAGGGTGTGTCCTAGACAGAAGTCACTTTTAAATGGGAGATCACTACAACTGTGAATTATTAGATTAAATTTAATGATTTAGATTGAATAAATTTAATGTGAGGGATCCCGCCAATCAGTTTGGGACTATCGATATCTCCCCTGCGTTCCTCGAATAATCTAAGAAAAGCTATAATAATCTAAATTATTTGTTTTTATTTCCTGGACATGAGAACCACCTTCTCAAAATGAGCTAGAGAATAAAAGCTCAAGCAAACTAACACGCCTCAACTAAAAACTTCAAAACCAGAGTCTAAGTGGAGTCATTTCACTTCATTATGCATTACTTTCTGTAGTATAGTATCTATTTTATAATATAGTTGGTTTTATATTTAGGATCAGAACAGTACCACTTATTAAGCATACCTAGAAATTTCTTTCCCAAACTATATAATGATTAGTATTAGTATATTTGATTAGATTTGAAATTCTAATAGATTCAAATTTTAATCAAGATATTATTCAAATTTTATTAATTGAATATATCTAAATTCTATAATATTTTTAAATGAATCATGTATTATGAGATTTTAGTGGTGTGCTTGATAGTTGACTCTACATCAACTAAAATCTACTCACACTTAAATACCCTAACAATCTTTCTAGCAAGAATTACACTTAATTCCACGTAACAATTAAAAATACGATAAGTCCTATCAAATGAATTAAATCAATCAATGGCTTTGAATTCTCTGAGGATTCGGGTGAGTTGTGTTCAAATAAGTTTAAAATGACAAATATCAAATTGCCTTGGATTTTGGGGGGAAAAAAATCTCCCCCATGATTGTTGTCAATTCGGAGCTCTTAGGAGAAATTATTATTTAGCTTCATTTTGATATGCGAAAAATAGAGAGGAAGGAAGAGAATATTTTAATTTTTTTAAACTTTTTTATCTTATTTTTTTTGTTAAAATTGTATAACCTCAATTTTCTAATTTTTTAAATCAAATTTATTAAAAAAATTTCTTTCTCTACACTCAACACCAAACATAGGATTAATAACGGTTATAATGGTAAGATTTGAGCACACAGCTTCCTAGATCCAAAGTGTGATATGTCCACCAGATCACTAAACTACAAAGAATTTGGAGGCGTTTGACAGCCTCTATAAGCACTTTTGAAATGCCTTCATGCAAATTAGGATAATTTCTATCATATATTTATTTTGTATACTATAAAATTACTTTTAAAATTATGATTTAGGTTTTATCCAAACTTCCTTAGGGGATGTTTGGCAATCAGTCTAAAAGCACTTCTGACCCCCAAACCATAGTTTGGGGAGGCTGATTGCCAAACACCCTAATTTTTTTGAAAACCATGGTTCCAGCTAAAACCTTGGTTTTGGCCGGCCAAACCATGGTTTTCGGACAAGCTATCCAGCTTCACTTCTGAGATGAATTTTTCTGG